GGGGGGTTGGAACTGGATGAGCTTGAAGGTTTCTTCCAACCCAAACCAGCCTGTGGTTCTGATTCTGTGACTCAAGCTGCACGACTGGCCTAAGCTTGGTGAGGCTGAAGCTGTGTGCTCCTGTGGGCAACTTTAAAAAAAAAATAAATTATTTAAAATATAGCGGAGACTGCGTGCAGCAGCTTTTATTTAAGGATAATTTGGTGTTTTAGTTTTAACTTTGGAGATACAGAGATACCCAAACAGCAGTGCCCAAAGCTCACTTTCACAGACACACATTTTGGGAGCGAAGTGTACCACTATTTATCTCTCACACTGAAAATGGGATGGACGGAAACACATCAAACACCCTCAGAAACCCCGCGTCCTTCTCGTCCGTCTCTTTCAAACCCTTTCCTGCTCGGCACTCACAGGCTTTACAAGGCCACGCATCACGTTCCTCTTTTCTTTCCTAATTGAGGCTTGACGAGTCACTTCCCATCCCCTGCACTTTTAGCATCACCTCCTCATAGCTCAGCAGCTCAACACCAACCATCGCAAGCCTGACCTGGCTTCTCACTACCCCTCCATCTGTTTATTTTGTTCAGTGGCTGATGAGATGCTACTGGACACCATAAGCAGTTCTGGCTGTTAATTTGCTAAGAATCCACGGCAGTTAGTGCACTGCCAGGGGAAGGCTTTGAGCTCACTGCTTGTGCCAGGCTCAGACAGATTTCAGCGCACATCTGGATTACCTCAGGCTGAACCTGTTGGCAAATTACGACTCTGTATTCTGTAAGTGATAAAGCTTTGCTCTGCGCTCAATAGTCGTGAGCATTAAGCGCCCTTTGGTGGCGTGGCCAGCCTGACATGACACATAATGAGTGTCTCCAGCCTCTATTCAGCTTGGAATGCAGAGGGGGAAATCCTGCTGCAGCGCTGTCCCAGCCGGCGACGAGAAGCCAAAGTTGTTTGACACACAGCAGTCCCAGCAGCCAGCCTGCTGCTGCCTGTCAAGATGACACTGGAAGTGTCAGGCCCAGAGCCTGGATGTTAATCAGCAGACTGTCCTTTCTTGTAAAAACATCCTTCATTATTAATATTCATAAACGTGGCCTCCAGAGATGACCTCCTTGTGTGTGGCTGTTTCGGGAGCAAGGGTTAAAAGCTACAACCTCTCTTGCTCCTAATGTTTCTAATACAACAAAGCATTTAGGTGCTACCTGGCATGAACACTGACCTGAACCGTGGGAGTCGTTTACCAGGCATCTGCTCACTTTTAAGATGCCTGGATGCTTTAAATTGAGGACAGGCTTTCTGAAAGATTCTCTCCAGCTCCACCACAAACTCTAACTTACCTGCATCACCCTTGGCACATCGGGCTGACCAAGGACAACAGCCCCCACCCATCATCCTGCACAGAGGAACACATCCACACAGCCTACCACGCACAAAATGGTACAAACGTGGTGAAGAGCTCCTGGAAAGGAAAAATTCCTCACCGAGTCCTTACGGGAGAGGCTGGAAGGGGCTGGGGTCCTGGGCAGCCGCCGGCTCAGAGCAGGAGACCACAGCACAGTGTGCTTTGTGTCCCACCCTCGATTCCTGTTTGTGAGAAGAGAGATTAAATTCCTAACAGACCTTAAATCAAGAGAAAAGGTAGCAAGTAAGAGCCAGTCTGGGAAACCCTATGCAAGAAGAGGAGGGCCACAAAATTGGTGAAGAGCTTAGAGGGGGAAGGTTCTTGAGGCAGAGGGTGGTGGAGCACTGGCACAGGCTCCCCAGGGAGGTGCTCATGGCACCAAGGCTGACAAGATTCCAGCAGCATTTGGCCAAGGCCCTCAGGGACATGGTGTGAATGTTGGGATTGTCCTGTGCAGGGACAGCAGTTGGACTGGATGATCCTTGTGGGTCCCTCCCAGCTCACAACATTCTAAGAATTCACCACAAACACAAGAATGGGTCCAAACACAGCAGCACTAATATAGAGATTTTATTTCGACTGTATTGAGTTGTACAGCACATTTTGTTTGTCACAATGCTATCGAACTGATTTTAGAGTTTTTGGCCAGCACATTGTGACAGTGAAACTCACAAGAGCTAAAAGCAGTTTGGACTAATGGCCTGAACGGAGGGGCCAGGAGTACCTAGTTTCTGGCTTCCTTATTGCTTGCAGTCATTCCAACACGTGCAAAACAGGAGCAAATCCAATTCCTTCTGCCAACCCAACGGTCACTCTTCCATGTCTGGCAATGACTGCAAGGGACAAGGCAGGGGAGAATTTGAAGCAAGGTGCCTTCTCTTCCCAAAGCCATATTGGTTGTTCCCAGTATGGAAAAGAAGCAGAGTCCCAGTAAGTACAGGGTCTTCAGATGATGCTCGCTTTGCTCGCACTATTGGGATTGACAAAACCAGAGGCTGACAGATCGAAGTGCAGGAAAGGGTCGTTCTTCCATTCCCTCCAACAGAGATGACAAAAAAACTGGGAGATCACAACAGTGTCAAGTACTTTGCCTTGTTAGGGGACCAGACGCCCTCACAGATCCTTCCCCCACGTACCAAGTCTCAGCTCATGAGGTGCAGAATGTATCAGACGTTTTCACTTCGCTGGACAGAAAAAACCTGTGTTTCTGCAAAGAAATGCCCCACGTTCAAACTCTTCTTCCTCACTAATACCCACAGATTTCTTAGCAAGGAGGCAGGGTGGATACTCCCAGTGGGATCCAGGGATTAAAAGCCCACCTGAGGGCCACTTCCTTTCCAAATCTTTGTTTCTTTCTAAACCCAGTTCCTTTTCCTTAGAATGAGTCAGAATTCCTGCTCTCTAGTTTACAGAAGTAAAGAGGCAACTACAAATTGGCAACTCTGAACTTTGACCGCTGTACAGGAGACAAAAAAGAAGTCAAATTCAAGAGGCATTTTAGGTAGCGCTGGGGCGAGTCAAGAGAGATTTGTTTCCACCACTGAGCAGATGCCACACGTCATGGTTATCGCTGTAGCTTCGGCTGTACGTCCTGAAGTGAAAAGCACAGGTCGTAGTGTCCACGTCAGCCAGTGTCCTTCCCCAGCCCCGTTTTGGTATTGATGCTTCATTCTCCCTTCTTCGGGTTACATTAAGTGCACAGAAATATATAGCAGCATTTGGACTGAAACCCTCACATACACCAGACAGCACATTCCAGGAGGTAAAACAACACATTATGGCCTATACCCTCAAGGTATCAAGTTTTCAGGATAAAGAGCAGTAGGAAGTGGAGATCTGAGGGCAGAAAAGGGGAGGAGGAGCAACACAGGAACACGAGTTCTGTTTCCATGCCAGGAGAGGATCAGGGTGCTGCTCCTGTGTTAGCACCGGGCCGTGGCACTACCGCAGACAAAGCAGACGGGCAGAGCAGGAGTGAAAAAGCCGATCGCCCACCTCCCCGCGGTGTCGGGGGCAACGGGCAAAGTCAAGTGTGGTCACCAGTCCTGGCAGAGTGTGAAAACGGGCAAAATCTGCTCGGCCTGTTTTCAGCCAGAATGAATTTCCCTTCAACACTCAAGAGAAAATCGATTTGTGATGGCTAATGAGTCTTGTTCACCAAGCTGATCGCAAATCACACTCATGGAAAGAGAATCTACAGAACTGCTCCAGGTTGAGGCCCTTCCAAAGCACACGGTACCACCTGGAGCCTGCCCTCCTCCTTCTCGCACAGCGCCTGCCTTTGTAGGGGGGGTTGGTTCTAAACATGCCTTTCTATTGCTTTGGGGGTACTTTGCACAGGCAGTATCTGTGAAAACGTTGCTTTCCAGCCCACAAAAGAAAGAGGTTACGTTCCCCTCTTTAGCCCTAGGTCGTCAGACTACAATGTACGGGCCCACCAGTACCAGAGCGGGGACACACTCCATACTCTCTAATCTGAGCTCCTCTGCTCCAGACTGACAGTAAGACTGCTGAAGACAGCACATTCAAGCTTGGTGTTCAAGTGTTGCACCAACGGCCTTCACAATTACAGTGGAGGCAGAGTCACCCTTCAAACCCACGAGAGAAAAGGCTGGGCTTAGACAGGTCCCTGGTCTGGCATTCAGCTGGAAGCTGTGGCGATGGGTTTCTTCAGATGTTGGCTCATGAGCTCCCTGGCACGAGACACTTGGATGTGGTCATAACAGGAGTTACAAACGAGGACAGGGTCGTACAACTGCTGATCAGGGATGGGCAACTTCAGATGGCAGCAACCAGCACAAAACACGTTCCCACAGTTCCTGTCAAGGAGCAAGAAAACCAGTTAAAAGAGAGGTGGAAACACCACAGCAAAACTTCAGCAAGTGTAAAGGATCCAGTTTCATCCAGGGGTGAAGTACCAGCCTCACGACTTGGTCAACTTGTTTCTTAAAGTATACACTGTGGTCTCCAGTGCAAGCCAACTGGCTAGCACTAAAAAGGGACTCATGGGCATTACTACCCAGGAGAAGGATCAAAGGCCTTGGAAAAACAGAAACAAGAACAACATAGAATGGAAATCTGCAGGGAATTTCTGAGGCCTGGCAAATACAGGAAAGACCTAAAACTTCCTCCTGGGAACAAACATCACAGAGAGGCGTTGGGTGAGGTTTGTGAGAACCAGGCTGAGATGAAGAGCAGAACTACAGCGACAGTTTTGTTTACCTGCAGTGATGCCTCCGTTTGGCCAGCCAGAATTCACAATCGCAGTTAAAACAGTGCGAGGCCATGTGGTCTGGAACCCACCGCGTGACCTAGGGCAGACATCAGTCCTCATCAGCTTTCAGTTTGAAACACCGCAACAACCTCGTCTCAGGACCCCAGCGCAAGGGGAGATGTGGCTTTGGGCCACAACAGTAACTCAGCGCAAGCCCACCCCCCAGGTCCCCCCCTATGGCACACTGCAGCAGCAGCAGATGTGTTAGAGGACAAGGGTGGCTGCTCTTGGCCTTGCTTCCAGACCACTCTGCTGCCATAACCACTGAAATGAGCTGCAAAGAAACATTCTCTCCTGCTGCATTACAGCTGCCGTAACAGGACACGTACCTCAGTCTCCTTCTTATCAACAGGCTCCCAGCTGGCTTCTGACAAGCACTCCTCACTGTGATCAGAACAGAAATCCTCAGTGTCGCTGCCGTCCGATTCCTTCAGACACGTCTGCAAAAAGAGATGGAGTCACAAATCCCCTCAGCTGCCTCAGCTGCAGAGTCAAAGGCATCCCCGCTCCAGCCACACTCAGTGCTGGTGAGGGGCACCCTGGGTGGCTCCACAGCTCCCCATACGAGGAGATAAAGTGTTCATGACCAGGTAGGAACCACTGCTTGGCCCTCAAGAAGCAAGAGTGGCATGAGGACACAGCACATGGACAAGAGAGGAACAGGGCTGAGGAAACATATCACAGCATCACAGACTGGTGGGGGTTGGACAGTGCTGGTGAGGGGCACCCTGGGTGGCTCCACAGCTCCCCATACGAGGAGATAAAGTGTTCATGACCAGGTAGGAACCACTGCTTGGCCCTCAAGAAGCAAGAGTGGCATGAGGACACAGCACATGGACAAGAGAGGAACAGGGCTGAGGAAACATATCACAGCATCACAGACTGGTGGGGGTTGGA